CCCCAAAACCCCAAAACCCCAAAACCCCAAAACCCCGTTTATTTAGATCATTAAAAAATTGACATCAAATGATTTTAAGGTATTTTAATAATATATTAAAACAAAAATAGCACATTAAATGTCGGGTGTGAATAAAAACCATGACAAAAAGTATATTGACTACTAGTAGAGCATGCTGAAGTTCATTCCAGTCTCAGTTGTCCAGTATCTTCTATCCAAGCAATAAGATGAAAGGAGCTTGCCCTAGTGCTAACACTATAAAACTGCAATTATAGTGGCAGAGATCAAGAATTTTTATGATCAATCTCACAGACACAAGTTTTTCAACAGTGATTAATCTTATAACGAGCATCTTGCTAACTTGTCAAACAGATTTTTGGAGATTATGAGCAAAGCGATTCATAAGTATGGAGGAGATATTGTTCAGTTTATTGGGAATTCAATGATAGCTTTATGGCCAAGAGCAGATCCCTTGGGTGAAAGCACATTTGAGGGAAAGGAGGATGATGAAACTGATGCTAATATAGCCCGAAAGGCAACATAGTGTGCGCTAGATATAAAGAACGAGAGCCAGAAAATAATATCGCAGAGAACTGAAATATTTATGGGGCTAGGTTTTGGACATTGTGGAATATTGCATGTAGGCGGAGTTTTTAAAAGAGCTGAATATTTTATAATAGGCGATGGATTGTCATAAGCTTTGAGATCTCTAAGATTAACAAAAAGTTCTGATTCAGTAATAATAAGCTAAAATATGTGGAGAGTAGTTGATAAGTACTTTGTTTGCGAACCTCTCCCTCAAAGTTTTGAAAATGAAAAAAGCGTAAAGTACTTATTTGGTCCAGGAATTAGGTCGAAATCTAACACCATAGTTTTAAGATCTGAATTTGAGTAAGAATTAGGTAATGATAATATTTTATAGCGAATAGAGGTTGAGAGAGATATAGTTTGAACTTAAGACTTATATTCCAGCTGCCTTTAGGCCTTATTTAAAACTAAAGCGTGATACTTTTGGAAATGAGCACAGAAGAATTACTGCAATGGTCTTGAATCTAGAAATTGAAGATATGTATCAAAGAGAATCTTTTACAATAATTCAAAAAATTGTTGAAATAGTTTAATAACAAATATACAAGCTTGAAGGATCTTTCAATAAGATAATATCATACGATGGTGGATTTACAATGCTATGTACCTGGGGAATAAGTCCAATATCTCATGAAGATGACGCTACTAGGGCAGTTTACACTGCTCAAAACGTCTAAAGAGAAATCAAAGAATTTGCATCAAAGGCGGGTCTTGTTGATTTTTCTCCCCCAATACATATAGGCATATGCACAGGAAATGTGTTCATGGGCATAGTTGGAAATGAAGGAAGTAGAAAAGAAATAGTAATACTCGGAGAACCAATTGAGAGAGCTTTCCTTTACATGCAAACAGCTTCCAAGCATTATGGAAAGATTTATGTGGACTATGACACAAAGTTGGAAGCTTCTCTATTTGTAGACTTCAGATATGTTGAGCATATTGAATTTGCACACAAACTCACCAATTGTTCAATTTTTGAGCCTCAAGATGCATTATAAAATTAGAATGACAAATATTTTGTAGATGAGGTTGGGAAGTGTAAATTTCAGCAATTTTATTAATATTTTAGAGATTGATATGATGACTGTAGTCAGGCTGCATTCTAATCCGTTTCAAATAGACTATAGAAATGAGTATCAGCATAAATTTTCTCAGATATATGGATAAAATGACGTGATTTCATTGATTTTAGATGATATTTCAATATATGCAGCCTCACCTGAGGATAGTGTTTGGGTATTAGGCATTAAAGGAGAACCAGGTTCTGGTAAAAGTTTATTTGCTAGAAATTTGATATAAAAAGTGATTGCCTAAGAAAAAAGTATACTGAAAGTCAGAAATGAAAATTATATTGATGCTGCTGAGGGTTCAGGCTTTCCAAGTTTAGTTTAATTTAGGATTATTGTTTCATCTTGCAATGCTTAGATTTAGTGAAAGTTTATCGGCATTTGGATACCGATTCTGAGGGAAATTTTATTGATATATAGCAAAGTTGTAAATAAGCGTAGAGAAAATATATTAAATGCACTTATAAAGAATTCAGATATTGAAGATAGTAATTAAATATTTTGCTTTTGACATTATTATAGAAGTTGCTATTGTAGAAAGTATATTTGGAATTAAAGGTTTATAAAGAAATGGTACTTAATCTGTCATATTTGAATCTCAATAGAATAATAATCAATCTTATCCCCAGAATATTGAAGAGGACATATTATTTTTCCTGCATGAATTCATATATGAAGTGATATTGAAATTGAAAGATGATATTTTGTTTTTTATTGTGATGGACAATGTATCATTAATGGACAGAGGCTCTTGGAGATTGTTTGATTTGATTACATCAGACACAGATAACTTGATTATCATAATGTGCATCTAGAACTAATCTATAGATAACTTAACTAGATTTAATTATAGCCCTAATCTATAAATGAAGATATCAGACGAAGCATAGCAACTCTATAAGGAAAGAATTGCTGAATATGAAAGAGAGATTTTCAATGTAGTTGAGATGGAACCTATAACACCATTTGATTTAAGACAGATTTTAATAGATTTAGCTGAACAGTATGAGAGAGATATGAAAGATGAGATTTATCTAATGACCTAAATCATAGACAGCAATAATTCGATTAAAACTTATCATGGTTAACTTGAGATTAAGAATAAGATGATAAAGAAGTATCAAGTTTATGATTTCTTTAAAGAAGTCGAAAAAGAAGTTATTGTAGAAGTTGTAAAAAAATGCTAAGGCAATCCACTTCTTTGCATTTCTTTAGTTTTTCAGCTCTTGACTGTAATAATTATTTTTCAAATAGAGCAATCTAATTATTCTATAGAATGATTTTATAAATGTTAAAGAACAAATTCTACTGTCAACGAACAAGTTGAGATATTTTTTCAAAACAAATTGCTGGAACAATATACAACTTCCTCCTTTTTCCTTGAAATCTAATTGCTAAATCATTGAAACTGCATTTAAAGCTGAAAAATCTTATACTAAGCTTTCAAGTGAAATGACTGTGTAAGTTAAAAAATATAATTGGTAATAGGTCTGCATACTAACTTATGAAGGCTGCTAGTATTTATGGAGAGAGATTCAGCATGAATCAAGTTAAAGAAATTTTTATATTTGATGATCAGAATGTATATCATTTGGAGCTTTTGTTTAGAGTGCTTGAAAATAGAAAACTAATTGAATTAGTCTACATCGATTAAAAGGGTGATAGAGTCTACAGATTTTTGCATACATTCTTAAGAGAAACATTATTTCAGCTTTAAATCTATGTAAATAACAAATTCTATATCTTTCTTATATTAGGAGGGTTAAAGGAAATAGATTCATCAAAAGATCAATGCTTATCTGCAGGAGAATATGATTTACAATTGGCAAACAGATGTAAATTCAAATTCCATATAAAAGTTATCATTTCATTTAGTGGAATTTTGAAAAAGAGAGAATAATGCTGCTCTAGAATTTGATGGCTGAGGAAGGAGTTAATAATGAGAGAATACTTTCTTTAAGAGCAAGATAGGCTCTAGTAATAAAAAAGGTCAATGCTTGTATCATGTAAAAGTCAAATTATGTTAAAAAGGGAGGACTAATCTTAGAAAAGGCTGCAACTAATAATTCTTAGTCCTAGTAAATTAAAGATAATTTATATTATATTATTTATCTAGACGGTATGTTAAGTTAACAGTTAAAGGATTTACCTGGTTCAAAAATAAGATTGAATTCGAAAGAAATTTGGAATAAGGAAGTGTTGCTCTAGATCAAATTTTGAAAATCAATGTACTTAAAAACCCATATGCTTAAAGTTAACAGAAAAATCCCAAAAACCTATAGCAAAGCCAAAATAACATATCTCTTACCTAAGACCCTCTTAATAATTCTAATATCAATAACACGATTATTGATACAAGCAAGAAAGCATAGCTATATACATTTCAACTGATCTGTAATGAATGGAGCAAAAATGGGTTTGTAAATTAGCAGCAAAAAACCCTCACATTCATTGCAGGTACTCGTAGAGATGGAGAGGACTGGGTTGCTCATATTGAATACTTAAGAACAAAGGCAAATGTCGATTAATTTATGAATAAATTCGGCAAAGTCAAGTTCCCTGTAACCTCATAGTTTGATAACAACAGTGATTCCTAATTTAAAATAAATCAAAAGCCAGATTATAAATTTGGTTCTGAATTCACTAGATCAGTGTATGGGAATCTTTAGAGACAGCAACAATTGAATACGCAGGCATCTTAAAGACAGCTATAGTATTCACTCTCCTCGAAGCAATTCAAGAGAAAGAGTTTGAGAAAGACAATGGGAATAGAATTAGTAAATGAAGATGAAAACAATGACACTGTTCATAATTTAAAGTGTGAGTTGCAAGCTTTATTCAACATTGTTTCATTGCAGTTTGTTGGCCATATGTAGAAAAATGCTTGCAAGTTTAATGAGGAACATCAGTAAGATGAAAGTTGTGAGTTAAATGTAATTTCAGACAAACAACTCGTTAATGAAATCATTGAGGAAATGCCTATTATAGAAAGAATTGAAAATATAGAGGGTCACATTAATACTGATGATGAGGATTTGGAACAAGATTTTATGGAGGAAATAAAAAATGATTTCATTGATCAACGGCAAATAGAAGAATGAGAAATGACTATTCATGATACCAATTAAACTGAAGACCAGAGCAATAATATAATGAATCAAATTAGAAGAGGCACCCTTTTTAACCACATAATAAGTGATTCTAGCAATCCTAACTTGAAAACAATCGGCGGTAGAATGTAGTTTGGATTTCACAGACTTAGCACCATTAAGAGGAAATCTAACATTAACTTTAGTTAATTAGAGAGAATAGCTGCTGAGGTTCAAAATTAAAAGCATGACTAAGAGATCCATGAAACCATTTCTTACAATGACGACGATTCTCTTGACACAGTGAAGGACTAACTATTTGATGAGTATTGCCCATATAGAGAGATAAAAGTTGCACTGCCCCTAAGAGATTTCCCTTACTATGAAGGTAGTTAAGTAGTCCAATATCTCTCTATTAAAAACGATATTAAAAAAGACTTCAATAACTCTAGATTAAAGAGAAGAAGAAAGCCTAGACTATAAAAGTTTTAATCAATAGAAAATTAAGATGGTGAAGATTAAAATTCTATAAAGAAATAGTAGTAAAGAAAACCAGATCCAGCAATGTAGAAAAAAACCTAAGCTATGACTAAAATATTAAACTAAACCCACAAAACCAAAGCCTCAAGAATAAGAGATGAAATAAAGAATGCTGAAATATAGGCTATCTAACAACTATAAAAGTAGCATTAAGAGGAGAGATAAAAAGAAAAGGAAAGAAGATAAATGCAAAACAAAGTCACAGAATATGGATCTTAAAATATACTTCGATCCTAATATTCAGTCTCGTAATTGTAAACATTAAAAGAGGTTGATAGATAAAAAATTCCAAAACTTAAACACAAAGATAGTACTTTTTCTAAGAAAAGTCAAAGAGGAACTGAGAATAATAGGAAAATTTTCAAGCCAACACCCTCAGAAAGATAACTTAACTGGATAGAGAGAGATGAGTCAGTTAGAAAAATAAGTGAGTACAGAAACTTAGAAGATGAATCAGCTAATGATGATGATAATCATAACCAAGATAGCTGCAATATAAATGAATCATTGCCAGCTTACGATAGCAAGATGACAAGAGATAAGAAGAATAAAGTATCAGAGTCTAATTTTAAGAGATCCCCAAGCAGAAAAGCTAAAGATGGGCAATAAGCTACAATGAATAGCAACTAGCTAAATTAATAATAGAATAACTAATCAATACAACTACTAGGCGTTATCAATTAAGAGAATGTTACATGGATTCCTTAAGATCAGAATATAAAGATAGATCCCAAGTAATATAAACTTAATAAAGGAGATATTATTGAGATCGTTAACTAGATCAAAGAGTTAGGAATCGTTTTATGTGCTTTCAAGCTTAATTTCTAGAAAATGCACGTTTTTGTTAAAAGAGATATGATAGACATTTACAACCAGAATGGGATGGTTAATACCACAATGAACTCGATGATTAACAACCTGAGTGCAATAAAAGAATTTTCAACTAGCATGGAATAACCATCTAAAATTATGAATAATAATCTCACTAAGTCAATGGCTAATGATTAGTCTCTTATTTCTAGTAATATGATATAATTGGAGAAGCAGCTTTCAAAGAGATCAGACCATAATGTAGTTTAATCGCAGAATCGCAATTAGCAGTAATCTCATTAGCAATAAATCTTGCATAATTTTGAGACATTTAACAACTATCCAGTTTAAGACTAATTGAGGCAAGATGAAAAAATCAAAATAATCCACAATCAAGAAAATGACAAGGTAATAAAAACAGAGTAATCCTCTGATAGTTTAAAATCAAATTAGGATGGAGCATTAAAGAAGGACGGACTATTAAAACTTTAAGAGAGAAGGAAGAAAAAGCTTGAACAAGCAGTTGCTGAGTAAGCATTAAAGAATACCATATAAGAAGAAGTTTAAAATAATATTGTGGCAAACGCTTAGAACTAAAATCTTAAAATGCTTGAGAGAAAGAAAAAGAGATAGTAGGATAAAAGTATTAGTGATAATGCTCCTATAGATGAAAGATTGTCCACCCAAGAAAATCCTAACAGCTTGGACAATTAATGAAGAATTAGGAAAATCAATATGAAAAATGATATAAAAGAAATTAGATTGAATATATTTTAATTTCTTATTCAGATAATATATTTATCTTAGGGGTTTTGGGGTTTTGGGGTTTTGGGG